ACTATATTGCTCAGGCTGGTCACAAACTCCTAGGCAAAAGTGCTCCTCCTGCCTCAGTCTGGCCTCCCAAAGTGATGGGATTACCGGCATTTGCCATTGACCCAGGCGTCAAATACCATTTGTTACACAATTACCTTGTGCCAATGATGGTCACCCTTAAAGTATTACTTAAAATAAGATTTTCTTTTAAAGCACATTTTTTGAAATGTAGACATCTGATCTGCCTTAGAGGCACTAAGTCAGTAAGTCGCTTGAAGCCTGGACTTCAAGAGTATTGAAAGTTGCGCAGAGAGTTGGAAGGAGGCAGGGAGTCCGGCCGGGTTGGCGTGCTGAGACGCAGCTGGCGCGACCCTCTCCTCTCTGAATCAGAGTTCGAGTCCCGCGGACAGGACACCGCAGCCGTGAAGCAGAGACCGTCCCCCGGCCAGTCGTGGCCAAGTGCGTTCTGATCAGGGACGTGCAGGGGGAAGCCCGCGATGTTACAGGGGTTAGTGAAGGATTGCCATCCAGAGACCCACGTGCCACCGTGTTCGAAACTCCCACAGGGTGTTTGGAGACAGGAGCAGAAGGTGGAGCTCAGTCTCCGGGACACCTCGGGACCTCCCTGCTGCCACGGCGTCCGTCTGCTCTGCTGCAGCGACTGAGACACTGTTTTCACGTCAGCGGTCCGAGACAGTGGACAGCGCACTCCAGAAGTGGGGGACAGAAACCGGGATTCCTGTCCCAGGGCGGCGTTCTGCTCCCTGGCTGCGAACAGACCTGAGGCCTCCGATGGAGCTGTCCCGCGGCAGCCGGCGCCGTGTCCTGTGAGCAGGGCTGTGCAGGAGCCAAGCAGCCGGTGCAGAAATCCACCCCCAGGCTCGGCCTTCGCCCCAAAAAAGAGCATCCACAGCATCTGTGGGGGGCACCCACGGCGCGTCTGAGCAAGCCTGGCCCACTGCCCCGAAGGGCCCTGTCCGCAGCCTCTGCAAACCACTGCTCCGCCTCCCCAGTGCCCTGACTCACGTCTTCTGCCTTCAGGAAGGAAGAGGCCAAAAGCTGTTCCATCATATGAAGCCAGATCGGAGGGGAAACAACCGCCTATGTCCTCCCTTGGGGTGCAGAGGCACGGGGAGAGGGAGGATGAGACAATTTAGGACATTGGGCATGCGATTTTCGGATGGCCATGGTGAGGGCTTGGGAGGAGACAGGAATGGGGCGAGGCAGGAGCCGGCCGGGCATGAGGACCTGACACTGAGCGAGAACCAGCATACCCCGAGCCTGGCACTGGGTTGTGGAGGGGGCGACTACCCCAGGGTCCCCGCCAACTGCAGAGGAAGGAAAGCTGTGGGGGGCGGGGGCATGCTGGCCTCATGGGCGTGGGAGCCTACAGCAGCCTCACCCTCAGCATCATGCCTCTTCCACACAGATTTTCCACGCAGGCCAGGGCACGGGAGGGGTCCCTGAAACCTTCCCTTCCCCTCTAAGGAGGCAGCAGAGGAAAGGAGAGTGGGGAAGCCAAGTGGCTGCCCCCTTGGGGGCTTAGCCCAGGGGCTTCATAACTGCAGTCAGAAGTGCAGGAGCCGGTCAGAGCGGATGAGAAGGAAACCTCATCTTTGCATAGCCCATGGCTCGCGGAGTGGTGACAGCACACATTCACATGCTTCTCACCTAAGTCCCCGGAGTCCAGGCCCCAGACGCCCTTCTCTTGCAGAGTGTAGGGGTGGTGTTGCTGCAGAGGCAGGGCTGGGTGGGGGTCACCAGATTTTTTCTACCCTTAGGGCAGCACAGCTGGCATGTGTTTTAGAGACTCTTGTCTTTCACATTGGGGGAGGGGGAAGTGTTTCAATCTGTTACATGTTCTGTATTTAATGAAGAAAATCTCTTTATTAATGAAAATATAATACATATAAAGAAAAGATGCACAGATGATTTTAGTGTTCTACTGTGGGTAAGAAACAGAGCCTGTGGGAATGAGAGAAACATAGTGTTGTATGTCAGGCTCTCCAGAGACACAGAGGCAATAGGTTATGGGGGTGCGTGTGCATAAATGTATGCAGCATAAGCATTGGCTCCTGTGCTTACGGAGTTACGGAGCCTGAAAAGTCCCACTATCTCTGCTGGAGACCCAGGAAACCCAGTGGCGTTACTTCCAGCCTAAGTCTGAAGGCCTGAGAATGAGAAGTGAAAACAGTGTAAGGCCTAGTCCAGGAGCAGGAGAAGACCAATGTCTCTCCTCGTGCAGTCAGGCAGAGAGAAAGAATTCCACCTTCCCCGGCCTTTTTGTTCCACTCAGGCCCTCAACAGGTTGTAAGATCCCCCACCCACACTGGGGAGGGCACTCTGCTTTACTCGTTCCACAGATGCTAACATCTTCCAGAAACATTTTCACAGAAACACCCAGAAATAATATTTAACCAGATATCTGGGCATCCTGTAACCCAGTTAAGATGAAAAAAGAAATCAACACCACACCATCTTAATCAAGCAACAAAAGGCTCTTCAAACTTGCTGTACTTATTAACAGATAAGAAAATCACCTTGATTCTGAGAGC